CCACTGGATCCTGCTGCTGGCTTGCCTTGGGTCCTGCTGTCACTGGCACCTTGTCATGTTTGACAGGTAGTCACATGCAGATAATAATTAATTTTATAAAATTTTTAGGGACCCTGTGGGCCAGATAGAATGGCCTGGTGGGCTGGATCTGGCACATGGGCTGTATTTTGCCCACCCCTGTTATAGATACAAGGTATGGAAACACTATATAGGAACAAGTCATCTTGAATAAACACATTTACATCATTGTTAAGAAAAGGAAAAGAGAACACCAGGTGTTTGAACATATTCCTGTTTTAAAAAAGCAGAGGGGAAGGAGAGAAACAAATAATAAATAATATAACAAATACTAACAAGATTTACCACATGCTAGTACCAGAGAGCTTTAGGGGGCGCTTTAATTAAACCTGCTCCAAAAGCCACTCTAAAGCTCCTGGAGTGTCATGTGTATCAGTGCCCCCATGCTGAAAAACGGTGGCGGGGCACTTTAACTAAAGCTCGTCAAACAGAGGCTTGGAAAATGGAGGCTTAAACCTTTTTTTGCTTCTGTTCCCATGTCATTAACATCCTGGGCTTTATAATACCATCATCCTGCAATATCAATATGCTTTTTTGGTTCTTTCAAATATAACCAAATATTAAAATACACATGCACAGAGCATTATATTTGTAGCTAAATTTAAGCCTCTCCTTCCACAGGGTCACAGTGCTTCTGCCTGATGCCAAACCAGTGTCCAGAGACTCAGGACCAGCTTTATTGTGTCCAAATGGAATCTACGGGTAGAAAGAGGACCTCCGGTCTGTGTGCATTAGGAGCAATGAAGTGTGCTGAAATGAGAATAGAAGTATTGCATCCAGGAAAGTGTGTGGGCTAACAGAAAGATACCCAACCTCCTGGGCCAAGGACTAGGCAGCCATTCCAAATGAAAGGCTGACTAATTCAAGAAGGCCAAATAAATAAAAACCTAATAAGGGGGTGGGTGGGAGGGAACACAGGTGGAGCATTTTGAATAAATGTTGCAGAGGTTCTCAGGGAAATGAGCCCTTCATCCCCCACACACTGCTACTCTCAGTATTACCTTTGTCCCTGTCTCCATCTCCCAGCAAGCATGCTGGGGCTGCTGAAAATATTGGAATCCCCCCAGAATCTGAAATAGTTCCCACTGGTGGCTCTTGAGAGGGGAATGGTGGAAGAGGGGTGGCAACTATCTTGCTCTCTGGTTAAAAAATACTTTGAGTTCTGACATTCATTCCTGTCCTTAACAGCTATGTATAAGCCAGGGAGAAGACTGGCAGCTAGTGAACAGTTCTGTACCTTTTCTTCTCTAATGTAGAAGGATTCTGTGAGATGAATATATATATTCATATATATATATTTATATATATATATATATATAAAAAATCTTCATATCATATGTATGAGTCAGCTCTCAAAATTATGATTTAAAAAAACATATTTGGACATCTTTTGTTAGCCCTCTACCTTCTAAAGGCTTTAGGATTCACATATCCAAGGCTTTGTTTCTTGCTGTTTTTGCAGCCATTCAAGTAGATACTGCATTCAAAGCAAGCAAGCAATAATTCCAATAATCCCTTGGCCCCATGAACTGAGCTGTATAAATATAACAGCAAACAACACAAGGCTTGTGATAAAATTGCAAGAATTGTCAAATCCAATAAATCCTTACTCTCATAATTGGCAATTGGGCTGGGCAAAGCCCCAAACATCTTCCAGCAACAAGGACATGCTCTAGTAGTTACTGAGACTTCACCAGTTTCACATGTGTATCCCAGAAGATATTAACCCAGTAGAGCAGGGCAGCAGCAGAATCTCTGTGAGTCAGTAACCACTGAATCACTGAGCCAGCATTGACTGAAACAAAATTGGGGTAAGGAGGTCATTATGCTAAATGGTGCAAAAGTATGCTTTATGTTTCAAATGTATTATGAAGACAACAATTAAAATAAACAATTAAGTATCTTACCTTCATAAGCTTCAAGTTCTTCGTATTCTCAAGGACATCCACAAATTTCCTATTATTATTACAAAGGCTGTTTTTTGTCCAGGAAGGATTACAGCATTCTCAAAATTATAGATTTTGTGTTAAACTTAGTGCCTTCTTGCTCCCCAGACTCTGTAGGGGACTATTAATTCTATAGGGCTGCTTCTGTCTTTTTGGCTCCCCACATGGGGTGAAGACTCTGATCTGCTGAGTCTCAAGCTTGGCCTTTTTTATATAAACCTGATCCATGATGTTTTAAAGAAATATTCTAACTTGTGATCATTTTTTACGTTTTCAGCTGCAACAAAAGCCTCAATTATTTGCTTGAATTTTTGAGCATCAGGGAGCTCATCAACTGCTAATCTTATCTAGCATCTTTTTTCTCAGCATGTCAAAGTGCTTTGCAAACTGATACTTAAACCTTTGAGATGTGCAGTTGTCATTAGTTGTCATTAGTTCCTTTTTTGAGGTAGGAACATGAAAGCACAAAATTAAGAAACTTACCTATGGATGCAGATGTTATTACTGGCAGAACATGGACCAGAACCAAAAATTAAATCCTGACCCTACTGAAGTCAACAGAAATTCTGCCTTTGACTTGATTAGAGTTAGGATTTCACTCCATATGTCCAATGCTCTGCTTTGATCACAAGAGCATCTTTTCTTCATGTTTTCCCCCAGCAATTTCAATACAATCCTCAGCCAAGGTTTTAACACAGAATTCCAGGCCAAAAGGGAGCCATTTTTTTTCTGGTCTGACCTTGGGCATAGCACATCCTGAAGAATTACACTCAGTAGTTCTTGCATCAAACACATCCTTTTGTACTGAGTTAGAATCTGTTCTTTGGGAAGATGGCCAATCTCATGGTAAAGACTTTTATGTCTGAAAATCTAGCACATATTCCTAGACAAATTATCCAAATGGTTACTTACCTTCTCAATTAAAAGGTGGTGCCTTATTTCTACTCTAAATTCTTTTAGGTTCAGTTTCCAGCCCTTTTTCTACTAAATAAAAGGCTCTCTACCTCTATAGGTACTTACTAGGCCTGTGGGAAATGGCTAGTGTTCACTTCAGATTTGGCCAATTTGGGGGACAGTGATTTGATTCAGTGATTTGAATCACTGTCCCAAATCAATACAGCTGAATCTGTTCGGAGATTCGGCTGCCGCTGAATCGGCCAAATCTCTGAATCAAACAGGCCATCTCCTGCCCACTCTTCCAGCCCCATCAATGGATGCCCCACCCAGTCCCAGCATCCTGGCACTTAAAAAAACAAAACGCCATTTCACCAGCTGCTGCCAGGCGGTGGGAAGGCAAGCATCGCAGCCCCACACTGTGTGGAGGGCTCTGCCATGAGCCCTCAGAGGCCGCAACAGCCACTGGAGCAGCCGGTGAGTGCAGGGGTTTTTTTTAAGTTTTTTTTTTAAGAGCTGGGATGCTGAGGCCAGATGGGGCAGCCATTGACACAGCTGGGAGAGTGGGCGGGGGATGGAGGCTAATGGGAGAGCCCCCCACACAGCATGGGGAGTGGGGATCATTCCCCACCTGGCAGTAGCCAGTAAGTGCAAGGCTTTTATTTATTTCTTTTCTTTTCTTTTTTTTAAAAGAGCCAGGATACTGGAGTTGGGTAGGGCAGCTATTGATAGGGCTGGGAGAGTGGGCAGGGGTTGTAGGGGTGCTCAGGGGAACAGTCAGGGGATGGGGTCTGGTGGGGGTCCACTCATGGTCCCCTCCCCCCACCCCCTACTTACCGGCATGGCGTCTGGGTCCAGCTCCCTATGGCAGCAAGTGGGGACTGCCTGATTCTCTCTGAAATGCTCTGAATCTTTTCCAAGTCAATTCGGAGAGCTTCAAATCAATTCAGACCTTTTTTATTGGTCTCCCATTTGGATTCAGATTCGGAGATTTGGCTGCCTTATTGGGCTGAATCTCCTCCAAATTGAATCAGCACCCAAAGCTTTGTATAGCCCTAGTACTGACAGAATAATGTAGTTGAGAATGAAAATGCTGATCAAACTGTAAATTTGTAAAGGAGCTTGAAAACCTCATGTTCTGTTTATAATAATTGAATATGTATCCATTTCAGAAAATCTAATTGATCTAGCACACCCTGTCTCTCATGTGCATGCACACATACATGAACACACATGCTTGCTTTTGAATCTGTCCACTCACATGGATGTGGCTTCTATCCCTGCCAGTCTGAGTATCTCAGGCAGGTAATATACAAATAGGCCATGAATAGATGAATAGCTACTACTAGATCTCCTTCCATATTAAAAAGAACAATACTGTAAATTAAATGACACCAGGACACATACGCACTTACAAATACTTGTGCACACAACTTTGCCAAATATAGGCAAGAATAAGAAAGCTGCTGAATCAGTGGGCTCCCAGTACAAGATGATCAGATAACAAGGAAATGGCAAGCCATGAAACAAAGAATATGACTTGCTATTTTGCTCTCCTTAGGACTGTTCTTTTACAGAAAGGTGTGGCACCCCCACACATCTCTACAGTGCAGTCAAAGGTAAAAACTTGTTACCACTTGGTACCCAAGGAACATAAAAGAACCAGAGAAAACAGTTGCTGCTGATATTCTTTGAAGCTTGCACCTACAAAGAAAAGGCCTCTCCAAGTCTGCTCTCATTAAGAGGGAGGAGATGGAAGATCACAAGTCTTCTTTAAGAGTACTCAGACTACTGTAAGAAGGCAGAACAATACATGCTTTGCGGTAGAGGTAAGTTCATTGTAAATTTGATCCTGGCCAGCTGCTGGGGAAGTTTACTGGGAGGTACAAGTACAAATGAGCAAGACAAAAAGCTTTGTTGAACTATATGATGTTTAAGCTGAAAAAACTGGGACAGAGGTAGGCAGTTTAAAAAGAACGGTGTATATATCTGCCTAGGCCTTTATATGATATGTTGTTTAGGGCAAAAACTAATTTGTCACTGATGTGTTACCTTACAGAGCACAGGTACTTACAAACAATGGATAACAGTGTGCCTGAATCTACCACACTCTCAAATGGAGAGATATACATAGCCATGTGTAACAGCTAAAAAGGGGTAATTTGCCTATTCTCGGTCTGTTTGGGCCAGAGTTGCCTGTCACAATCTCCCCTGGTCCCTGCTCCACCTCCTTTCATTGCCTTGGTCTTAAAGTTAACATTTGGGAGATGGGTAGTGGCACTGGGGTCATTTTCACTACATATTGTTCACAGCTGCATGTGTACATTTTTGTAATGTGTAAAGACAAAGGAGTATGATAATATTTCCTATTTAGCTGTTGTGGCAGCATGGGTAGCCTGCATGAACCCTGACCTCTTCTTCACCACTTTTCTGACCCAGTCTGGAAGGGACCTGAGTCACAGGAGATAACTCCAGACTTACCAGAAAGGGAGCCCAGGCTGAAGCAACGTGGGGGACAGCCATGCCACTTTTTAAGCTCCCTCTTGATCTGAGTGGGCTGTGCACAGATGATAATATCAGCCCAGCACACTGCTGTGGGAAGTTTAAAAGGCACCGAAGGTGCCAGAGGGGAAGGAGGAGAAGAAAGTCTGCTCTGGGAGGCTAGAGCCCAGTTGGCAAGGAGAACTGCTGGAG